TGACATGAGTAATGGGAGAAATACAAGCACACGGACTCCCCCGCTCCAAGCAAACGGCAAAGAGTAGTGAGTAGTAATCTGAATGAATATGTGGTCGAAACAATAATGGGCCAGCAAGAAGAGGATAATGAGAGAGAGTGCAAAATGCTGTTTTTCAGCATTCTGGATGCTGTACTGGGAGAAATTTCAGCAAGATTTAACGAACGAAACACCCAACTTGTTGAGGCCCTGTGTGCCTTGCACCAAGAGAATAAAACATTTATGGATGTGGAAAAGGTGAAACCACTGCTGGACTTAATCGCAGGAGACTTTGTGGAAGCTGAGTTTACTGTCGCACGCCAATTTCTACAGACTGAAATCGCCCGATCTGAAGAAGAAAAATGGACTATGCAGAGCATTTTGGATAGATACTCCGGGCCTCTAAATAGCAATGCCTACTGTGATAATGGCATTGAAGCTGGGATTAACATTTGGAGCATCCACGGCAATTTGCGATAACTATTTTTCAACATTGAAAAACGTATTCAGTGAGCACAGACGGATGCTCAAAAAACCTACACTCGATCCCTCCGATGTCAACAACTACAGACCAGTATCCCTTCTTTCTTTTCTCTCCAAAACTCTTGAGCATGCCGTCTCTAGTAGGGCTGCACGATATATCGTTTCAGCATCGACATTGCGATGTATGCATCCGCAATAGTCACATCGCAGAATTTGCGATTTAGTAAGGTAAACATATATCAGTATACAATATATATATATTTTTAAATATTAAACTAGCATTATATCTGTCTGATATAACGTAATTTACTCAGATTTATGGGTTATTGGATACACAGTTTATTCTTATTCTTATTATTATTTTAAACACGGAGTTCGTTGCTGCACGTGGTTGACATGCAGGCTCTGCTTGCGCGTGACGAAATGATGAGCGAGGAACAGGCAAAAAAAAACCGAAATGGAGAATTTGGTTGCAAAAAGAAATGCATCGTCAATTATATGGAAAAATTCGGCTACAGACAGGATGATGTTGACCAAAAACAGGTACTTTGTTGAGAGTGCCTTGCAATTGTTGCCACAACACGAGGCAACACGACCATTTTGTTCGATCATTTAAGGCGGCACCACAAATCTTCGTATGACAAGTGCAAAGCATCTCAATGCCCTCCAAAGCAAAAATCTATTTCGGATGCCTTTGCCAGTATTACACCATACGAGAAAGGTTCCAAACGGCAGAGAGAAATCACAGATTCAATAACATTTCACGTCGCCAAAGACAGGGTACCAATTAACACGGTTACCAAAGAGGGTTTTAAAAACATGATCCGGTCGCTTGACAAGCGGTATGTAATGCCATCACGCAACTATTTTTCTCAAGTTGCCATCCCAGAGTTGTACTAGAAATGCAAGGCACACGTTGAAACAGAGCTGTCACAAGTGGAATATTATACAGCAACAATGGACTTGTGGTCCAGCCTACATAAGTCTGACCCTACACTTTATAAATGAGGACTTCCACCTGAAAAGTCGCTGTTTGCAAACTGCATTTTCCCCAGAGGATCATACATACATCCTGTATTTTTTCATATCGCAATATATATCGCAGAAAAACAAAATATCGCAATGTCAGTTATTTCCAATATCGGGCAACCCTAGTCTCTAGCCAACTCTCCTGCTATCTCTCTCAGAATGACCTTTTTGATCCAAACCAGTCAGGTTTCAAGACTGGTCATTCAACTGAGACTGCCTTTCTCTGTGTCACGGAGGCTTTCCGCACTGCTAAAGCTAATTCTCCTCTGCTCTTGTCCTTCTAGACCTATCTGCTGCCTTTGATACTGTGAACCATCAGATCCTCCTCTCCAACCTCTCCGAGTTGGGTATCTCCGTCGTGGCTCACTCTTGGATTGCGTCCTACCTGACAGGTCACTCCTACCACGTGCTCTCACCACTGGTGTCCCCCAGGGCTCAGTTCTAGGCCCTATCCTATTCTCTCTATACACCAAGTCACTTGGCTCTGTCATATCCTCACATGGTCTCTCCTATCCTTGCTACGCAGACGACACACAATTCATTTTCTCCTTTCCCCCTTCTGATAACCAGGTGGCGAATCTCATCTCTGCATGTCTGGCAGACATATCAGTGTGGATGTCAGATCACCACCTCAAGCTGAACCTTGGCAAGACGGAGCTGCTCTTCCTCCCGGGGAAGGACTGCCCGCTCCATGATCTCGCCATCACGGGTTGACAACTCCATTGTGTCCTCCTCCCAGAGTGCAAAGAACCTTGGCGTGACTCTGGACAACACCCTGTCATTCTCCGCTAACATCAAAGCGGTTACCCGATCCTGCAAGTTCATGCTCTACAACATTCGCAGAGTACGACCCTACCTTACACAGAAAGCGGCACAGGTCCTAATCCAGGCACTTGTCATCTCCCGTCTGGATTACTGCAACTCGCTGTTGGCTGGGCTCCCTGCCTGTGCCATTAAACCCCTACAACTTATCCAGAACGCTGCAGCCCGTCTGGTGTTCAACCTTCCCAAGTTCTCTCATGTCACACCGCTCCTCCGCACACTCCACTGGCTTCCAGTTGAAGTTCGCATCTACTATAAAACCATGGTGCTTGCCTACGGAGCTGTGAGGGGAACGGCACCTCCTTACCTTCAGGCTCTGATCAGACCCTACACCCAAACGAGGGCACTACGTTCATCTACCTCTGGCCTGCTGGCCCCCCTACCTCTACGGAAGCACAGTTCCCGCTCAGCCCAGTCAAAGCTATTCACTGCTCTGGCACCCCAATGGTGGAACAAGCTCCCACACAATGCCAGGACAGCGGAGTCACTGACCACCTTCCGGAGACACTTAAAACCCTACCTCTTTAAGGAATACCTGGAATAGTATAACAGTAATCCTTCTACACCCCCCTCCCCCAGTGGTGGTTGTCCCACTGGCTATCCTAAGTTGAATGCACCAATATGTAAGTCGCTCTGGATAAGAGTGTCTGCTAAATGACTTAAATGTAAATGTTTTGCATTGGATTGATGGGTATTGTGCATGTAGCTGTGTAGCGTTGTCATAACTTGCAATTCCTCGAGCCGGTTATGAATTGTCCATGTTTGTAAAGCAGTGCAGTAGCCTGCGACAAGACAGCTGTGCGTGGCAGCAAATACATTGTGTGTAATTGCACTATAGATTATTATCCATCCTGTGTTATCAGCAAGCGAAAATAGTTGTCCCGCCTTAATAATTTCTGATGCCCCCTTGCCGAGTTCATCCTGCTGCCGGGCCTGGGCCCATCAATTTAAATCCAATCATTTTTTTGGTGCTTTTGTACTTAATAACTCACATTTTTTGGGTGTTTCCCAGCAGTTAGTGATTTGTTAGTATTTTGTAACAGGGGTGGCTTCTTGTTCAAGCTGCGTTCTACCACACCTGATTCTACTAATCACCTTATTAGTAGAAACATGTATGGTAGAACTGGGCTTGAACAAAGGCTTGCATATCCTGTGGGTCCTTAAGAGCATGTTGGACCAGCCCTGATTAATAAGTACTAGTTCCTAAGTCTGAGTATTGTAGGTTTGACTTTAAATTGTTTTTTATTTTTTAATTCTAATAAGTCACCATTTTTATAAATACATTTAGGTGTAAATAGTTGAGTTATTGTTAATGATTTGTTTATTTCCAGGAGCTTGCTCGATTGTCTTAAATACGATCAGGGAAGTTTTATTTGTCAATTTCTCCAACATTGGCTTAAATTAGTTTCAGTTTTATTTTAGTTACTTCCCTCTGGATGGTCTTTCAAAGTAGCATCAAATAAAAACTAGCGTTGACATTATTTCTGTTTCCATGTGTCATTATTTTGTGTCTTTACTACACTACAACTTACCTTCATTTTGCATTCATGTTCATCAGCAACTCACTTAAGGAGCATGGCCAGCTCTCTGCATTGAATACAAGTTTTATGTAACTTTTCCACAGATTAAGGGCCACTATAATAGCAGAAATTGTATACAGTGCAATATGTACAGTATGTTCAACGAAACAAAAAAAAAAAACACTGAACGCTACAAAAAAGGCCCATTTCCATCATTAGTTTTAAACGGTCACTAGATGGTGTAGTTGTTCAAAGTAAAATGTTTTCATGAATGTTTCTCTTCATCATGTTCAAATCTTATAATCGCAACATGACCAAAAGTATGTGGACACCTGCTTGTCAAACATCTCATTCCAAAATCATGGGCATTAATATGGAGTTGGTCCCCCCTATAACTGCCTCCACTCTTCTGGGAAGGCTTTTCACTAGATATTGTAACATTGCTGAGCAGAAATTTTACGAAGTGACTTGTTGGGGAAAAAGGGGATTGTACATGGAAAGGTGGCATCCTATGACGGGGCCACATTGAAAGTCACTGAGCTCTTCAGTATGCGCCATTCTACTGCCACCTTTCCATGTACAATTGACTAGGTATCCCCTAGATATGGAGATTGCATGGCTGTGTGCTCGATTTTATACACCTGTCAGCAACGGGTGTGGCTGAAATAGCCGAGTCAACTGAAAGGGTGTCCACATACTTGTCATGTATATACTGTACATTGAGCTAGTTTTATGCAATTGTATGGCTTGTCAAGTACTTAATGATATATCTTTAAACTTTGTGCACCTCCTTGAATCATCGCATACAATAATGATCATAGATTCTCAACTGAGCCCCACTGATGTTTTCCCCATCTTATTTAGTTTATCTTGATTTCACCTTAGAATAAACCTAAACTTCATTATCCCTTTCTCACACACACGAGATATCAATAATTTAAACTGTGCAATCTACTCTGCAAATCCTCCTTTGCAAGAAGCAAGTCATAGCATAGCTCTATCGACATAGCCCTGACAAAGAGGACGTGAGATTGGGAGATGTGGAGAGAAGGGAGTAAATCCTCTGACATGTTTCAGATGGAAGCAGACTCACCATGGCTGTGCCCCCAATGGCACCCTTTTCCTACATAGTGCACTACTTTTGACCAGGACCCATAGCACTATATAACGAATAGGATGCCATTTGGGATGTAGCCAAGGCCAGGCATCTATTTCAGCACTTCTCTTTCAGGTTGCATTCAGAAGTAGAGGGAACGGCTTCATTGATTTCATTCTGCATTGTTTTGCAGTGTGACTTTGGTTACTTCTCAGCATTCCATCACAGGAAAGCATCATTCGTTTTCTCTAAAACCTGCAACGCATTAGATTATGAAGTATTATTGATCTCATTCTGTAGTTTCTGTATTCATATTTGTATCTGTGTCTATGTGCGTGCGTACATGTGAGCGTTCTTCACCTGAGTGCTGTGGAGTATGACCCCAGGAGTGATTGGAAGCCCACTTTGTTTGAGTCTCTCATACCCTGACCTCTCCACAACCAGTAATTTCAAAGATGTCTCGCTCTTCTTTATCAGCATCACAACGTCCTCAAAGTACTCATTCTCCACATTCTGGCCATTCACCTCCACAACTACATCCCCTTCCCACAGTCCAGCCCTATGTCCTGAGCCCTTTACCACCACCTGCAGGACAAAAGAAAACTGTAGTCATAACCGTGTCACTCATTTCTCATAGGAACCATCTTAACACCTGCCCTCCTCATTATAGCAATGCTTGTGGAAAACAACACAGCAGATCAATATCAGGAACTGTTGATTGATGATAGCTGTTACTCATTAGTGCAACTTTGATTGGGGATTTTTCAAATTGCCTATTTATGGCAGGAAACATAATTAATTAATTAATTAATTGGTCATTTAGCAGACGCTCTTATCCAGAGCGACTTACAGGAGCAATTAGGGTTAAGTGCCTTGCTCAAGGGCACATCGACAGATTTTTCACCTAGTCGGCTCGGGGATTAGAACCAGCGACCTTTCGGTTACTGGCACAACGCTCTTAACCACTAAGCTACCTGCCGCCCATAATGATAGAGATTACAACAAATATATGAGAGAGAGATAGATGACCAGGGTGTTATGTTGTTGATGTTCGAAGGAATACCTGGCCTATGAAAGTTCCTGGCTCATGTTGAACACAGCCCAGATTAAACCCAAAGCCTGATTCTTCTCTCTGGAGGACACAGAGTCTTGGACAGGGAAGTGAGCCATGCTCGTTTTTCCTCAGCCCATCCTGAATCTCAGCGCAAGGGGACTCTGTCTTCCTCATCCCCTCTGCTTCTGGCAGACTGTCCTCATGGAATAGCAGGGGAGATAGACCCAACTGCAGTAGGAAACAGAACAGACAGTGTTTTTGACTGGGAAGGTATTTTTAGTTGACACAATTCTTAAACAATCAATATTCTAACACCAGAACTCGCCTAACTCCTATTCTCCAAACTGCACATGGCCCTCCGTCCGCTTACACACCTGTGTGTAGAAGTCTCTTCCGTGTATGGATATGGTGGTGAGGCTAACCCGCTTGCCACTCTTCCTCACTTTCCTGACGATATCCTCATGCTCCATGGACTCTGAAGGCTGCCCATTGACCGCCAGCAGCAAGTCTCCATCCTGCATACCAGCCTCTTCTGCTGGACTCCCCACATCCACCTCACGGAGTAGGTGAGCTGGAATCGACAGCAAAAAATTCAGCTCAGCCAGCAGGTATAATGCTTATTACTTGTTTGTAATGTGTATAGTATGTCTGTCAATGCAGCACATTTTGTACGGACTTAGAATGACTGTTATTTAGTCAGGATCATTAAGAGATGATAATAAGACATTATACGCTGGTCATAGTAGGTGCTTGTAACATGGTCATGCATGCAACAAATGGAAGTTTCTAGCAAAAAAAACATATTTATTATCACCTGATGTGTACATATGTGTGCATCATTCTCACCAATACGACCCCCTGATGACAACCTCTCTTGTCGTAATAGGAAGCCGTATCCATCTGACCCCTGCACCAGATGCATCGTTGTGGGTCTGTGTGGCAGGTTGTGAGAGCCGGCCATGATAGGCAAGATGGGAAGTTTCCGCCGGATGTAGCTCGCTTCACTTTCTCTGTCGATGACTAGGACGGTCACATAGACGCTACATTTCTTCACCTGAGCAGTACAAAGAGCTAAACGTGAGGGAGAAGTGAGGAACATGCTTGCACGTGCACACACACAGACATACTAAGACACATACAGAGACACACACAGAGACACACACAGAGACACACACACACACATCTGCCATGTGGGTTTATTTACCAAGAGCATTTCTGAGAAGGAGGGCCTGTATGCTTACCATTTTACTGATAGCTGAATGGGTGAGCGTTGATACTCTGGCCCCGTTTATCCACACCAGTCTATCTCCACTACGCACCCCTGCCCTCTCTGCAGGACCCTCACTTACTGTGCTCAACATGTATCGGCCCTTCTGACCTGGTGAGATACAAACAGACACAATCAAACACCTTCACTGAGATCCTCTCGTCGGTAATCAAATCAAATCAAATGTTATTTGTCACATGCGCTGAATTCAACAGGTGTAGACTTTACAGTGAAATGCTTACTTATGAGCCCTTTCCCAACAAAGCAGTGTTAAAAAGTCTACAAAAATTAGCTAATAAGAAAAAAAGGAAATTGTAACACAATAAAATAACATTACCGAGGCTATGTACAAGGAGTACTGGTACCGAGTCAATGTGCAGGGGTACGAGGTAGTTGAGGTAATTGAGGTAATACAGTGCCTTCGGAAAGTATTCAGACCCCTTGACTTTTTCCACATTTTGTTAGGTTACAGCCTTATTCTAAAATGTATTAAATCGTTTTTTTTCCCCCCTCATCAATCTACACACAATATCCCATAATGACAAAGCAAAAACAGGTTTTTAGACATTTTTGCAAATTTATTAAAAATAAACATGTCACGAATTCAGCCGAGGCTGCCCCTCCTCCTTGCTCGGGCAGGCTTCGGCGTTCGTCGTCACCAGAGTACTAGCTGCCACCGATCGATGTTTTCTGTGTTACCCTTGTCTTGTCTGTATTCATCACACCTGTTCCCCATTATGTTAATTTGTTTCCCTATTTTACCCTCTGGTTCCCTCATGGTGTTGTGAGTGATTGTTCGTTGTTTTGCTGTCTTTTGGTGAGCCGGTATTTGCTCTTCCCTGCATGGAGGATTTGCTCTGCTATTTTTGTTCCAGTAAATAACTTCGTTTTTATAGTTCTGTGTCCTGCGCCTGATTCCATCCTACCGCTACACACAGACGCAAGACAAAACACCTGAAATATCACATTTACATAAGTATTCAGACCCTTTACTCAGTACTTTGTTGAAGCACCTTTGGCAGCGATTACAGCCTTGAGTCTTCTTGGGTATGACGCTACAAGCTTAGCACACCTGTATACATTCTTTGATGCAGATCCTCTCAAGCTCTGTCAGGTTGGAAGGGGAGTGTTGCTGCACAGCTATTTTCAGGTCTCTCCACAGATGTTCGATCGGGTTCAAGTCCGGGCTCTGGCTGGGCCACTCAAGAACATTCAGAGACTTGTCCCGAAGCCACTCCTGCGTTGTCTTGGCTGTGTGCTTAGGGTCATTGTCCTGTTGGAAGGTGAACCTTTGCCCCAGTCTGAGGTCATGAGCGCTCTGGAGCAAGTTTTCATCAAAGATCTCTCTTTGCTCCGTTCATCTTTGGCTCAATCCTGACAAGTCTCCCAGTTCCTGCCGCTGAAAAACAACCCCACAGCATGATGCTACCACCACCATGCTTCACCATAGGGATGGTGCCAGGTTTCCTCCAGAGGTGACGCTTGGCATTCAGGCCAAAGAGTTCAATCTTGGTTTCATCAGACCAGAGAATCTTGTTTCTCATGGTCTGAGAGTCTTTAGGTGCCTTTTGGCAAACTCCAAGCGGGCTGTCATGTGCCTTTTACTGAGGAGTGGCTTCCGTCTGGCCACTCTACCATAAAGGCCTGATTGGTGGAGTGCTACAGAGATGGTTGTCCTTCTGGAAGGTTCTCCCATCTCCACAGAAGAACTCTAGAGCTCTGTCAGACTGACCATCGGGTTCTTGGTCACCTCCCTGACCAAGGCCCTTCTCCCCCGATTGCTCAGTTTGGCCGGGTGGCCAGCTCTGGGAAGAGTCTTGGTGGTTCCAAACTTCTTCCATTTAAGAATGATGGAGGCCACTGTGTTCTTGAGGACCCTCAATGCTGCAGTTGTATATTGTGTGTATATTGCTGGGGATTTATTTATTTTTAATCCATTTTAGAATAAGGCTGTAACGTAACAAGATGTGGAAAAAGTCAAGGGGTCTGAAAACTTTCCGAAGGCACTGTATGTACATGTAGGTAGGCTAAAAGTGACTAGGCAATCAGGATAGATAATGAACAAAGTAGCAGCAGCATATGTGAAAAGTGTGAAAGTGTGTCTGTGTGAGTGTATGTGTGTGGCGTCAATATGCATGTGTGTGTGTGTGAGCGTATGAAGTGTGTGTGTGTTGGAGTGTCAGTATAGTGTGAGTGTGTGGGTAGAGTCCAGTGAGTGTGCATAGAGCCAGTGCAAGAATGTCAGTGCAAAAGAAAGGGGGTGTATGCAAATAGTCAGAGTAGCCATTTGATGAACTGTTCAGCAGTCTTATGGCTTGGGGGTAGAAGCTGTTCAGGAGCCTTTTGGTCCCAGACTTCGCTCCGGTACCGCTTGCCGTGCGGTATAAGAGAGAACAGTCTATGACTTGGGTGGCTGGAGTCTTTGATAATTTTTAGGGCCTTCCTCTGACACCGCCTGTATGTACTGGGCCGTACGCACTGGGCCGTACGCACTACCCTCTGTAGCGCCTTACGGTCGGCTGCCGAGCAGTTTCCATTCCAAGCAGTGATGCAGCCACACTCTTAGAGAAAAAGGTGTTTATTTTATTTTATTTAACCTTTATTTAACTAAGCAAGTCAGTTAAGAACAAATTCTTATTTACAATGACGGCCTACCAAAAGGCAACTTGCCTCCTGCGGGGACAGTGGCTGGGATTAAAAAATAAAAATATAGGACAAAACACACATCACGACAAGAGAGACACCACAACACTACATAAAGAGAGACCTGTTATCAAGAACCTAAAAGGGTTCTTTGGCTGTCCCCATAGGAGAATCCTTTGAAGAACCCTATTTGATTCCAGGTAGAACCCTTTTGAGTTCCATGGAGAACCCTTTACAAAGAGGGTTCTACATGGAACCCAAAATAGTTCTACCTGGAACCAAAAAGGGTTCTCCCTATGGGGACAGCCGAAGAACCCTTTTGGAACCCTTTTTCTAAGAGTGCAGTCAAGATGCTCTCAATGGTGCAGCTGAGGGCCCATGCCAAATATTTTCAGCCTCATAATCATACTATGCAGGCCTAAACATTTACATTAACTCTGCACAAGATTTTGATATTGAAAAGATGAGAAAGATGCCAGAGTTGATTCAGTGGCAAACATCACCATCTCTCGACCGTCTCTTGGCTAACCCTAACCCTATATCAACCTTTATCCACCCTTATCTGCCTCCCCATCTCCCCCTCTCTCCTTCTTACTGTCTAGCAAATTATCTGCCAAAAAAGATGACGGAATTAATAACTCATAGCTACCTTCAATGGGGATGATGCTGATCCCCAGACCTAAGACAGGGTCTCTGGTGATGTGGCACAGCCTGGGCCGGGAACACGTCTCCCCTCGGTAAGCCCTGGTCAGAGCCTGGAGGTCCAGTCCCTGGGCCAGCGCCTCCTTATACTCCTCCCCCGACAGAACCAGCAGGAACAGCTGCAGCCCACACGCCTGGATCCTCTGCACCACCTGTCAATCAGAGCAGAACATGCTGCAGCTAAGAGAAATACTCTGTTTAGACCAAGTCGGTAAGTCTTGTCCGAGCCAGAATGGCCCATAAGGCAAGAGCCTGTTTATGTAGCGCGGGGAAGCTTGATGTGCAAACCCGTGGTCCTCTGTAGCTCAGCTGGTAGAGCACGGCGCTTGTAATGCCAAGGTAGTGGGTTCGATCCCCGGGACCACCCTTACACAAAAAAATAAATAATTATGCACGCATGACTGTAAGTCGCTTTGGATAAAAGCGTCTGCTAAATGGCATATTATTATATTATATTATGCACCCCCCGGACAGGACGCTAGTCTTTCGTATTGAAGCCAAGTATTTGGCACATATTGTACATTTTGAACAATGTGGCTCATTTTCAAATGAAAGCGAGGCAGAGGACACTGTTGGAGACATTGTAAGAGAAGAGGTTATCTCAGGTCTCTTAAAGTCTGGTTCTGACCCACATATGATGAAGCAGACCCACATTACATACAGAATTGAAATCTGTGTGCCAAAGCTTTAAGAAATGTGTGCACAATGATTCCACTGGTTGCCCGTATAGCTCAGTTGGTAGAGCATGGCGTTTGCAATGCCAGGGTTGTGGGTTTGATTCCCACGGGGGGCCAGTATGAAAAAATGTATGCACTCACTAACTGTAAGTCGCTCTGGATAAGAGCGTCTGCTAAATGACTAAAATGTATAAAGATATGTCCGGTTCTCACCCTGGGGAACTCCATGTTGTCGACAAAGTCCTCGTTGACCTCCAGCACACGGTCCCCGTCCTTGAGTCCACTGAGCTCTGCAGGACTCCACGGATCCACCTGGCGGACAACATAGCCCCGGCAGCTCCTCTCCATACGCAGATTGAAGCCCAAACTCTGGCCCTCTTTGCACTTTATCTGGCACAGGCGGGGTACCGGACTCAGGTCTGGATCTGGAGGGCAAGACAAAACACTGCCATTGACATAGGATGGGCATTGTGCATGGACACCTAAAGAAGTGAGGCATCTTGATTACTATGATTGATGAACTAGTGTTAGACAGACCATCTTCCATGCGTTGGAAAATAATGGATCATTTTGGATGTGTTCGTTCTCAAACCTTACCAGGGTCGTCTGAGATGCATAAGGCTGGATTGTCGATCCCCTCTTTTGGATTGAAGGTGAATCTTTGAGTGAGGAAAATGAAAAGGTCAAAGTTGAAACATGAAGTGGCCCAAAGGATGCCCAAAATGTGTGATAGTGACATATTCGCTAATGTCATATTTTGAATTATGCAAATTGTCTCTAGTCCAATTTGTAGCCATCAAAACAAAAAACTATAATCACTCTTACCGTGGAAATTCCATTGCATCCTCAAGACCTAGAATGACAGAAAAAAGAGTGACAAAAATCCCTGCAGTAATGATTCCAGGAATGACCTGTGTCCTTGATCCAAACATCCAGGTTACTCATCTCTAACTGAGATACAGTGCCTACAGAAAGTACTCACACCCCTTGCCCTTTTCCACATTTTGTTCTGTTACAGCCTAAATTTAAAATTGATTAAATATTTTTTTTAATGTCACTGGCCTACATACAATACCCCATAATGTCAAAGTGGAATTATGTTTTTTGACATTTTTACAAATTAAGAAAAGGTGAAAAGTTTGAAATGTCTTAAGTCAATAAGTATTCAATCCCTTTGCTGTGGCAAACCTAAATCGGTTTAAGAGTAAAAATGTGCTTATCAAGTCAAATAATATGTTGCATGGACTCAATAATACTGTTTAACATGATTTTTGAATGACTACCTCATCTCTGTACCCCACACATACAATTATTTGTATGGTCCCTCAACCGAGCAGTGAATTTCAAACACAGATTCAACCACAAAGAAGGATACCTATTGGTAGACATTCAAAATACAGGCGTCCTTCCTAACTCAGTTGCCGGAGAGGAAGGAAATCGCTCAGGGATTTCACCATAAGGCCAATGGTGACTTTAAAATAGTTAGAGTTTAATGGCTGTGATAGGAGAAAACTGAGGATGGATCAACAACATTGTAGTTACTCCACAATACTAATTTAATTGACAGAGTGAAAAGAAGGAAGCCTGTACATAATACAAATATTCCAAAACATGCATCCTGCTTGCAAAGGCACAAAAAAAAGTGGCAAAGCAATTCACTTTTTGTCCTGAATACAAAGTGTTATGTTTGGGGCAAATCCAATACAACACATTACTGAGTACCACTCTCCATATTTTCAAGCATAGTGGTGGCTGCATCATGTTATGGGTATGCTTGTAATCGTTAAGGACTGGGGAGTTTTTCAGGATAAAAAAGAAATGGAATGGAGCTAAGCACAGGCAAAATCCAAGAGGAAAACCTGGTTCAGTCTGCTTTCCACCAGACACTGGGAGATGTATTCACCTTTCAGCAGGACAATAGCCTAAAACACAAGGCCAAATCTACACTAGAGTTGCTTACCAAGAAGACAGTGAATGTTCCTGAGTGGCCGAGTTAGGTTTTGACTTAAATCTACTTGAAAATCTATGGCAAGACCTGAAAATGGTTGTCTAGCAATGATCAACAACCAATTTGACAGAGCTTGAAGAATTTAGAAAATTCTTGCACAATCCAGGTGTGGTAAGCTCTTCGAGACTTACCCAGAAAGACTCACAGCTGTAATCACTGCCAAAGGGGCTTTTACAAAGTATTGACTTGGGTGTAAATTAGATATTTCTGCACTTTATTTTCATAAATTGTGAAAAGAATTCTAAAAACATGTTTTCACTCTGTCATTATGGGGTATTGTGTGACAATGGGTGAGAAACATATCTATTTAATCTATTTTGAATTCAGGCTGTAACACAACAAAATGTGGAAAAAGTCAAGTGGTATGAATACTTTCTGAAGGCACTGTATGATCCCCCGGCCCTGTCCGGATGCATGAGCATCACTGGACACAGTCACAGGTGATCATTAGCTCAAAGATGTCATGTCTCTCCAGCATCCAGCCCTTTAGCTGTACAGCAAATGTCCTTAAATATTACTTTGATGAATGAATCATACTGAGAGAAAAACTTCAATATTAGAAGCGAGGACCCGTGTCACAATATAGCATTTGATAGGCAGTCAAGTCATTCATTACTTATTACTGTCATTCTAAGGTTTGGCTCCATCTTTCATCATGCATATCCTAACCTGGCCTAATGACTAATATTAGGAGGAGGAGGATACTCCCACTCACATGCCACAGCATGCCAGCCCTTATACAAGCATTTCTCATTTGTATGCAGAATTCATCCCTTCAAGCTCGACAGTTGCACACACACACTGACAACACATACCTACATTCAACCTCTTGGCAAGGAGAGGTCTGTGCAGTCTGTCAGGTTGTTAGTTGTGATATCTGCAGTGTCGTGTTCCCAGCTATCTGCTGACTGTCATTATTCTAGCTGTAGAGGGACCAAACAGCTTTTATCACAGGGCCTTTTTAAATTCTCTATTATGGGTAGACCTAGCAAGGACTACCCATGTTGTATGTTGACCGTCAACATGTTTATTTTGGATACAGCAGTCAATGTAGGCTAGCATATTAATGTATGCTGAGGGGGTAGCAGTTCAGAATTAATTATTCATCAAAAAAACACTAAAATGTATAATCCAGTCATTTTCATTTTAGAATCAAACTTGTTACTTCGCAGAGGTAGACATACATTTCCAGCACTGTCACACAACACAGAAGGCTACCTTTAATCACCAATGATTAAACACACTTTAGAACACACTCACACTGACTCACAGAGAGAAAGCATTTCAGAATATACCTAAAGGTTACGTAAAATGCTATTTGAATATACAAATCTCATATTGTGTACTCATTCGATTTCTAAAGCAAGACCAGCCTAGTGAAGCGGAGGAACGTGTCTGTGTCTTAACATAGAAAACAATGGAGACTGGTCTTGAGAAAGGCCTTGTGCCAAAAGTATACATTAAACATTATATCCTCTTGTCCTTGTGACTAGACGTATAAAAACAGACTCTCACCTGTGGTGTACTTCATGGCTTCTGTCTGTCCTTGTGTCTGGACGTCCTCCTGGCTGCCCGAGGGTGTGTGGAGGTGCAAGGTACACAGCAGATTGGGACGTTAAGATTCCTCTGTTATGTCAGCATTTGAGACGGTAACTCCTTCTTCCTCCACCTTAACACTAGGCCTCCTAGGCTTAATGTTTAGCTAACCTGTGACCAGACCTGGTAACCCATCACAACACTAAACACTCTCCAGGTTTCTTAGATAATGTGTTATCATACAATGGTTTACGAGCTTAAACAACTGAGCTGATACCAACAATTTGACTATATTGGCTATACTGTCAATGTAAGGCCATTGGGGTCATGAGTGCTACACTGCAGGAGAAAGAATGGTTGATTATGGGCACAATGAGACTAAAACAGCAATGAGCCTATCTGGAAATACTATGAGGATCTAGGTTAGGGCTATGGTTTAAATGTGTTGGTGTGGGGACCTCGAGTAGATCATTGTCCATTCTAAGCTTGACGTAATGAATTTCAAAATAGACATACCGTAATTACATTGATTTGGACTTCGAAGTTCATGGGTTACAATTCATTTAATCAAAGCGCACATACAGTAGGTTGACATTGCTTCTCTATAATGTGCAAGAGCAAAACAGCCTAAAAGTCTGTAATTGCCAATACAAGCACTGAACTCCATATTAAATTATATCACACAAAATAGTATACAGTACAAATGAATGAAGGACAACCGTCAAGTACATTCTATTGGCCAATAGGTTAACTGCTATGAACTCTTTTTTTTTTGAGAAAGCAAATTATGTTTGATGATGCAGCACAGCACAGCCTGCTATAAAAATAAAAGCATGTTTTTAAGCATCTAGTAAATGTAATAGAAAAGTGTTGCAACCAATGGCTTTCGCAGTACATGCAACACTTTGTATTTTCAAGTATCAATCCATGTTGACTTTATCAAATGATTGTTCCTATTAAAACAGCGAAACGCTATTATTATTTAACACAAACGGAACACATTTCCTTTTAAACCTACCTGAATATATTTATTAAACACACACAGACATCCTCAAGCAAAAAACTGGGAGAAAATACAAGATCTCCCGAGTGGCGCAGTGGTCTAAGGCACTGCATCGCAGTGCTAGCTGTGCCACTAGAGATCCTGGTTTGAATCCAGGCTCTGTCATAGCCGGCCACGACCGGGAGACCCATGGGGCGGCGCGCACAATTGGCCCAGCGTCGTCCAGGGTAGGGGAGGGAATGGCCGGCAGGGGATGTAGCTCAGTTGGTAGAGCATGGCGTTTGCAACGCCAGGGTTGTGGGTTCGATCAAATAATGTATGCACTAACTGTAAGTCGCTCTGGATAAGAGCGTCTGCTAAATGACTAAAATGTAAGATACTACACATTTTACATACAGAGTACACAAGGAGGCCCAAAACAAATATGGCTATGTGCATAATTCTGCATAATGGCAACACCTTCCTATGTAGTCTTGAAAAGGACACTTTCAGTTTCACACCATGAATATATTTTATTCAATTAATTTTGCATAGATTTGGCTGTCCCACTTCTCACTTGCTACATTTCTTCAAGGCGATGGATACATGGGCTTATCCTATGGTTGAAAGACTGGAAGACTTTGTAAATACTGGACCAAACACCTCCAGATTAAAAGACATACTGAACATACATGAACATCATGGCTCATTTTTTTTAAACACAGACATTGCTTGTCCATTACTTGGCACTCCCACCGGTCCTCGTCGGGTCCTTCTGCAGCATCTGCAGCGTCTGCCTGACGCCGTTCTCCACCCTGCGGAAGTGCATCTTTTTCCAGAAGCTTGGCGCCTGCTTCCTACCCCACTCCAGGTCTCGGAGGAAGATCTGCAGCTGTTCCCTGACGCGTTCCCGCTCCCAGGACGAGGCGTTCTTACTGATGATGCTCAGGATGGGGTGCCAGTCCTCCGAGATGTCCGAGCCCTCGGTGACCGAGGCTAGTACCTTCACGCGCCGCCCCGTGCCACCCTGGTTCAGCGGTACTCCTCGAACGTACAGGGACTGCTTCCCCACGTTGCTGAGAGGATTCAGGTACAAGCTGTGGAACACAATGGAATAAATGTATACACATAACCTACATATAGACACATTCAAATGCCACTTCATATAAAGATGATGCATAATAAGTGCACGATGTAAAGAAAATTGCCCAAATAAAATTACTAAAGAAACCATAGTGGTCGAGTCATGCAATAAATTTTCTTTGTGTATATAGGGGTCTGCAACTGTTGGCCCGCAGGCTAAATCTGGCCTCCACAGAATAATTTATTGCCCCGCCTAACCCCATATACTGTAATTCCAGGACATGTGGGAACGGTGCTGCTTAGCTTACTGCACAGTGTGGATGCTGGGGTGCTCTCTGCAGGCATCCACCAGGGTCAGAGCAGCATTGTCCCCGATGTTGTTGTAGGCCACGTTGAGCTCCTGCAGGCCCGTGTGCTGGTTGAGCCTCTTGGCCAGCTCGCAGGCCCCCGTGTCGCCCATGCCTGTGTGCATCAGGGACAGCTGCCTGAGAGACTGGTTCCCTAGCAGGGCGTCCAGCAGACAGCGAGCCCCGGACTCTAACAGGGGGTTATCGCACAGGCTACAGAGGGACAGTCACAGGACACTGTATCAGCATTCAAACTGGACAAGTGGAGGCTGGTTGAAGCAGCATGTCATCTGTTAGTTAGACATTAGACCAACTATCATTTGGACAATGTGGGTGTTCTACATACAGTAAACATCTTATTTGAAGTGTAAAGTGAGCAAGTTCTCAAATGAGAGAAATTGTCCCTTTCTGACCAAAGCAAATTAATAAATAAGGCAATATTTAAAAATAAAGCATTAGTAATCATACTTAAGGAAAGTTGTAAATTCCATTGATTAGTTATTATTACCACCAATACCTACCTGTTGAGCCATAGAAAAGGAAATAAGGCCATTAGCCTGGTAAAGAGTCAGTGTCTTACTGTAGAGATCTAATAGTACAGTTGGGGTCAAGTAGTAGATCTCTCAGGAGAATGCAGGACTCAGGACCCAGGCTATTAAACTGGAGACTGAAGACAACGGAGAGAAAAAAGCATACACAGCTATCACAAACACACCCCCACACACATGCGTTAGCCTGCAAACCACGAACCTCACGTACTGTCCATAGAACAACTATTAAATACAAAAAACACAGATTGAACACAGATAACACTCCTTGTTGCAGTTCTTCATGAAGTAACACCATGATTTTTTTTTTTTTTTTACAACCACAACCAAAAAGCAGGCCAGGCTGAATAACCTGATAACACTAATATAGATATCAAAGGTTATATTATGGGCAATAAAGTCTCCCTTTACTCCCAATGCTCCTTCCTTTAATAGCATCAGAATACCATGTTGTCAATGCCCATAGGGAGTACACTTTTTATGCAGCAAGTCAAACACATTTAGGCTATAATGTCAAACCTACCATGAATGAATCCATGAATGTTACTGGATGGATCAAGTTAGGACCTGATATGTCACTTGGCAGTTAATGATTTTAAGGCCTCAGTCAAACATTAATTAGCAATACAAGCTAAAAAGGCAAATATTGCTGCATGTTTGGACACCTCTCAGTAAATAGAGGATTTGGAGTGTTATTGATAAGGCTTTGGGTCACCTTAGATTTACCACCTGTATTCTGAAAATGATAACATAACTCAATGAGGTGAACAGAGGGTATATGTAACGTAGTAGGTAGAAATACACTAGTAATATCACCTTTTTACTGTGGTAAGTAGTGACTGTTACCATGGACAGATACAAGAGGTCAATCTTGTGAGTTGGTGAGAATTTAGTTTAAATAAAAATAAAACTATTTATCTAGCTCTTAACAAAAAATAAAAGTTGACTAAAGGCCCACAAATCAAGCCTTCTCTCACTTGAGGTTGTGCGTGTGGCGGAAAGCGGGCCACAGCATGGTCAGCAGGTCGTTGGTCAGGTGACAGGAAGAAAGGTCCAGCTCCTCCAGGTGGTACCTCGAGGGTACGCAGGCCAGCACAGAGCTCAGGATGAAGCATTTGAGGGGTGTCATGCGCACGTTGGACAGCTTGATGCTGCGGATGGAGAGCAGGACCTCTGCCGTGAGCCGGGGATTCTGGAACTCGTACAGGAGCACCAGCAGGTCCATGAGCTCCTCAGGGGGCTGCCACTTCACGATCTCCGCCGCCAGGTGCTTCTTGAGGGTTCTTGTGATCTGAGCCACTGTGGTGCTCTTGATGCTGCAGCCCAGCTGCTCCAGCAGAACCCGGTTCCCGTAGTGAAGCAGGCCGCCCATGAAGATGGGGTAGAGCTCGAAGGCCCGGCTGTCCAGGCGCTCCTGGGGCTGGGGGCCGTGAACTCCTAGTAGGCTCTGCTCCACTTGGTCCAGCACATCCTCGTTGAAGCTGTCCTCGCTGCGGAACATCTCTGCCGCCATTGTGCGGGCAATGCGGCCCTTGCTGCGGCTGCTGATCTTCTCAAACAGGCTGGGAAAGAGCTTGAGCAGGTTGAAAACAGCGAATACCCTGAGGGGGATGAACTTGGAGATGATGCTGATGAGGGTGTTGACATCTTCGCTCACTTGGCCGATGGCCACGGTCACCTCTTTGCTCAGCTTCTCCAGAGCTGTCTTGTTCTCGCCGAGGACAACGTACAGGGCAGCCAGGTACTCTTGCATGGCGGGAATGGCAAACACGTAGCGCTTCTCCTTTTCATTAAGCTCTGACCCTTTGGTCTCGATGCAGGGCACCAGGAAGAAGTCGAGAACATCAGTGCGGAACACGGCCAGCTGACGCAGTTCCTCATCTGTTTTGGTCTTACCACCCACAAACTGTTCCAGTTCCTCCTCGGAGAAGGAAGTGCGCTTTTTGGTGACTCCGTCAAAGGCCAGTTTGCCCACAGTGCGGACTACATAGAGCATCAACGAGTTCTGGTGCTCTAGAGAAGATACACCCCCACCCGTTTCCAGCACCTCCCCTCCAAAGTTGAGTCTCAGGAAGCTGGTATAGATACCAGTTAGCGTACGTATGGGTGCCTGGGCGTCGGTGAAATGTAAAAAGTGGAGGATGGCACAAGTCAGCCAGCAATAGGAAGGTAAAAAGCAGGCGGCCGCCAACTGGCTCTCCCTCTGTAGGTTGAGGTAAAGCAGCTCGATGAGGGCGTGAGCTTCCTGGTTTCTCGGCTTCTCTCCAATCTGTTGCAGCAGTCGGCTTGTGAAGTATGCTCGCTGGCGATCTGGGTCATTGAAGCCATATATCTGTGCGTAGCGTTTCACATACTTTGTAGGGATGTGGTCAAGGGCAGACAACCTTGTGGTGACCAAAATACTGGCCTAAAAAAATTGAGTTAAATTATCAATACATATACATTACTAAACATTTTTCATCACAACTTACTGGGGTTGGAAATAGACATACTGAACGTGATGAAGTTGATAGCCTTGAATGGTAACATACTGTATTTTTCTGATTGATTTTATGGTAGCATCTGATTTGCTCAAACAGCACTTCCTTAGCACACATCACATTCTACTGTATGTAACTGACTAAATGCAGGTTGTGGGCCCTTACCTCAGGCAGCATGTACTTCCTGAGCAGGTTCACCACCACTGCCCCGGAGGGGACGGCCTCGTTGGGGTCGCTGCACAGCTCCGTGGAGCCAATACGGAAGTCCAGTTTCATCTTCTCCATGCCGTTAAACAGAAACAGCACGTCCTTGGCCTGGTCGCTCTCTCCACTCAGCATGGGGATCTTCTTCAGGTGCAGGTATTTCCTGCTGACCAGGTCTCTCAGAGATGTGGACTTGGATAACTGGGAGAGGTCCTCGCAGGAGAAGGGCACCAGTAGTTTGAACTGGGTCAAAGTGAGCCCGGCACACCAGTCTAGAACCAGCTTCCGCACCACCGTGCTCTTCCCTGTCCCGACTGCCCCGTACAGCAGCACGTTAAGGCCCTGCTCCCTGCCTCCTTGATGAGTGGGCTCAAAGAGTTGCTCCACGGTGACCGAGGCACTCTGGGGGGCCTGGGATGCCTTGAGGAGGGGGGTGATTAAGGGCCCTTTCCTCTCCTCTGGCTTCCTCTCCAGGATGAGTGGCTCCACGTGCATGGTCTCGGGGGTGAAGTAGTCCCCGAACTGCTTCTCTTCCTGAGGTAGGTGGCTGAACCATAAGTTCAACTTCTTCTTGTGGATCTCAATGGGATCTGTGAAGGAAAGGACCAGTATTTAAACACAGCAATGAACGAAAACATTCTCTTGAATTATCAAGAGCACCGACTGAAATACATAAGCCAAAATCTCTATCGTTGCAGGATTCGTAAGGCCTCACATTACTTTACCTACATTAGGATGAACTATCTTAGAATCTATGTAACTACACTATAACAGACCAGTAAGTACAGTACAGTACATGCAGTTCTGGAACACTTACCACGATGCTCTTACTTTTTGTTGCTTTTTAGTACCTGTCTGTTTATTGCATACTTATTTCCCTTATAGCTACCCTGAAATAATGCCTGGTATGTGATGTGGGTGAAACATGCAGAGAAAGGGGCATCATAAGAGAGAAGAGGCTTATGCAATTAGATGGTGCCAATCTTTCCCATTCACTTAGGAAGGAGGCTTCCTAATACATACTGTAGCAGGGACCTACACAACAGATGGTGTGAATTACGAGGACCAGACTTTAAGTGATTGGACATACGTACAAGCTCTGTTTACCTGTTTGATTGTGGACTAGAATTACCTATTTCAGGCCCACTGGAGCAAAAAAACCTTGAATGAAATCCACTGGCTGAATAGAAGGAGGAATATTTAAACGTCCTCCATAGTCCTCCTGGAAGCCTCAGCTGTCTGTGGGGGGTGGACAAAGAGAGGCTCACTCAACAGTGATTATTTCTCTACTTATGTGTCATAACAAGTAGCATGTCTCCAGGACACACAAAATACTGATCTAGCACTAAGACTAGCACTTTATGGGTTGGTTTCCTGGACACAGATTAAGTCTAGTCCTAGACTAAAAAGCAAACTCAATCGAGAATCGGCATTTTAAAAAATGCTTTTTAGTCCAGTATTAGGCTTATTTTATTTATTTTTATTTATTTCACCTTTATTTAACCAGGTAAGCCAGTTGAGAAAAAGTTCTCATTTACAACTGCGACCTGGCCAAGATAAAGCAAAGCAGTGCGATAAAAACAACAACACAGAGTTACATATGGGGTAAACAAAACATAAAGTCAAAAACACAACAGAAAATATATATACAGTGTGTGCGAATGTTGTAAGTTATGGAGGTAAGGCAATAAATAGGCCATAGTGCAGAATAGTTACAATTTCATATAACACTGGAAGGATATATGTGCAAAAGATGATGTGCAAATAGAGATACTGGGGTGCAAATTAGCAAAATAAATAACAATATGGGGATTAGGTAGGCTTAATCTGTGTCCGGGAACCGCCCCTATGTGTTGTCTGTCTACACTGTATGTAGGAGTGGAACTGTAAAATGTCAATGTCTGGGTGATGAGTAGATGGTTTGGTGTTTCTGTCAAATGTGAACGTCTGTGGAAGAGAATGTTGACTAACCTGTGACATGAACCCATGTTCCTATAAGTGATGACTCTGCTTGTAAGTGGGCTGAGGTTCACGTCTAAAGACAAAACACAGTCACCACATCATTCTCAGTGGTTATAAGGAATACATAATACATACGGTATGCTGTAAATATTCCCTCCCTCCCTCACTCATTCATTACAACTGTTATACAGACATAACAATACTGTTATGCTACACAGACACAGTTTTTCTTACTTCTATGTAAGATAGAGATGTTAGATTTGGGGAGTACATCATTGAGTGTACCTCGCCATCTCCTCCTGAGGACCCCTGAGCTGATCCAACACTGCCACATCCTCCTAGTAGGCTTTCAACACTCTCAAAGGAAAGAATTCAATCAATGAGTCAATAACTGTCTATCATTTCATTGTTTACTTGTATTCACAACCAAATGAATCAAAGTAATTTCTTCAGAAGAAAGCTTGAATGCATGACTCACCTGTTCCAACTAGTTCACATCTTGAGGAAACTTGAAAACAGTGCTTCCACTTCCTGATCCTACGTCCTTGTTCACCGTGGGTCTCGGTTTACCGTAGTTTAACGTGAACCTGCAACGCAACATGACACTCAACTTAGTGCAGTATATCATATCAATGACCTCCAAAAATCAAAACTCACCTACTACGTCAATAACACAGTAAGTGTTAGCTTCGATGCAACCAATCGTTTTGTTTTGACGTTGTCACATCGAAGCTAAGTAAGTGTTATAGTTCCCACTGGGCACAGACGTCAATTCAACATCTATTCCATGTTGGTTCAACGTAATTCCATTGAAATGATGTGGAAACACTGTTGATCCAACCAGTGTGTCCCCAGTAGGTTATCACTCAGGTATTAGCAGACTCACACAAATATAATTTCACTAAAAAGCATTCATACACACATGCAGGAAAAGAAACACTATACCCGTCCCACCTTATGAAAAGTTAGTCCCAATCCCAATGTGTTTCCTCTGTGTTCTCTCAGGATCAGACATGTAGCTAATAGGCGAGGCTGTGCTGCTCCACTTTCCAGCTGCTTGCTCTTTACTGGCTAACAGGCTGAGTCATGACAGCAATAACAAATACGCAGTCTCAGAGGCAATGTGAGAGAGAGGCCCGGAACAGTCTTCTCCCAAACCACCACACCATTCCCCCTGTCCAATCCCTACTCAGCACAGCTAATTTAAACAGTTTAAGGCCCTCCTCTTTTTCCTTTATCCACACATCCCTCTCCCACTCTCTTTGGTCATCCCTCAATGCATGGAATCTCGGCCACTCTCCTAAGGAAGGTCAACAATTACCGGAACAATTTTGGAACAAAATGGGCAGTCTATCTGAGGAGGCTTGTGGGAGGAGCTATAGGAGGACGGGATCATTGTAATGGCTGGAATGGAATGGTATAAAACACATCAAACATATGGAAACCACATGTTTGACTCAGTTCCTTCATTCCATTCCTGCCATCACAATGAGCCCGTCCTCTTATAGCTCCTACCACCAGCCTCCTCTGCAGTCTGAGTCTATTAATGCACTGGTGAGCCCCATAAGACGTTTACATTCTCTGCGTTAGAGGACAAGTGACAAGGTAACAGGGGTGTCATTTCAGCTAAACCTAGGGTATGGAAAAGTGACAAGTTTAGTTTCATGTCAAGTCAAACAGCAGTTACCTAGCCAAAGCCATCTACTACAGCCATCTTTACCTCTGCAATGTGCAGTGACGTGTATTCATGGCTCTCTGTGTTTCATAAATGTCGTTCAATTCGCAAGACGCTGAATGTATCTCACCGGAGAAAGCATCCGAGCGAGCGAAACAGCGCCCCTCTGTCTCTGTATGTGTAGCCCATCTATCTGATGCTGTCTGGTCAAACTGAGTATGACATTGTTGCCGCCCGTAGCATTGAACGCAACAGAAGCCAGCGAGCATTTGGCCTCCCTTGATACTTCAAAATAATAATAATAGCCAATCAGTGTTGAGCTAAACTAAGTGAGCTCAGTTTGGATTTGGCTTCAAATCAATCACATCAGAAGCCAAACGTAAATTACATAATTGTTTTTTATTGTTGCATCTTGTTGTGTTGTTGTGATCCAGTGGGTGGCTAGCTAAAATCGGCCCATTCCTAAATTAGCCATGGACAGAGATAGAGATTTGGACTTAATTCTCCGTACTGGCCAATGATTATTATAATGGCGATTCTGATCCAACCATACATTTATACATTGTGCTCCTGGCCTGAGAGGATGGAAGTTCGACATGTAGCTAGATGTAGTAGGCCTGGAGCATTGTTGCCCATGAAAGGAAGTTAGGCTAGCGAGCAAGCATTTTAGCCTGGTAGCCTAGGACAACAAAAACTAAAAACATGTACTGTATGACATAGTCATAGACCTTTTAGGCAACATGAAAGAAGAGGATGGCATTGCTGGCGTTTCTCAACAAGTAGGGTAAGTCAATATGTAATTTTTTTTCTAAACCCACACACACAGAAATAGTACCATAGACAGTCACATCATATTTAGTTTGCGTTGATTGGACTAAATAGTTTTTGCCATCTTTTAGTTGTCACTGTATTAGACTAAGCATAGGTGATTAGATGTTAAAGTAGAAATGGTGCTGAAATACCATTGACGGTATTAACTGTAAAATACCATATTTGGAGGAGGATCTGTTTTTTGGGGGGAAGTATTACATTTGACAGATGTTGGAATCTGTCCCTTGGGCAGCGCCTGTTCTCTTTGCGACTTGCAGTAACTCTCCATGGTTCTAAATTAATAGTTGTTTAGAAGTCCGAAAAAATGTACTTGCTTGACCACGCTGTAGGGCATGTAACTGTGTTCCATGCAATATGTTTTGTGGTCTTAACCAGACAGATGTTGCTCTCCGGTTTTGTGATGAAACAAAGGTGTGGTTGAATTTATTCTGCCACTGTCTTCTTATTGTCTCGGCCTTTGGCCTATATATCACGGTGTCAAGGCATATTTACATTTACATTTTAGTCATTTAGCAGACTCTCTTATCCAGAGCGACTTAGAGAGTTAGTGAGTGCATACATTATTTATTTTTATTTTTCATACTGGCCCCCCGTGGGAATCGAACCCACAACCCTTGCGTTGCAATCGCCATGCTCTACCAACTGAGCTACATCCCTGCCGGCCATTCCCTCCCCTACCCTTGACGACGCTGGGCCAATTGCGCGCTGCCCCATGGGTCTCCCGGTCACGGCCGGCTACGACAGAGCCTGGATGAACTAACAAGTTATAGAGCAAACAACGCATTTATCACAACACATCGGTTGTAATATTGCTTTTTTTCTCTGGCTTGGCCTCTCCAGTGATTTTACCCACGCACCACTACTGACAATGTGTTGAGAAAAAGTCCCGCTGTTAATTGGAGCTGCATCGATGCAGACAGCAATACAAACAACCTTCCCTCCCTCTCAAGGTGTCCGCATGGTCCTAAAGCCAGCCCATTCACCCCGATAAACTGTATTCGCCTTTTAATCGGGATTGGCATGATTTTAAAATTGTTGGTGTTGAGCTAGGCCCGCTAGGTATGGCCATACCCTGCCATACCCAATTGACACCCCATGGGAAGGACCAGGAGGAAGAAAGCAGAGAAATTAAGAAAAAAAGGTTTGCAACGCATAAACCAAACGCCCCCTTTTGCTGTAGGGGGGTACAGTATTTGGTAGTTCTTCAACTCTAAAAAGCATTCTGCCTTCTCCCTAGTTTTCAGCAGTTAGCTTCGCCCATGACTGGCTCATGTGAACTACAATCCCGACGCTGTGTTTTAACGTTTAGAAACGTCAATAATCATTGCTTGCGATACCGCTTTCGAAACATATGGCCCTTATCTTTCAACAGCGAAAGAATCCTTCAAATAAAAAATATACACTTACTGTAGCAGTTTTGCACAGAGCCATACATGAGTGCCTCAAACTACAGTTCCGCTACATTTCTCAAGTTATGCTAGATACTCCGAACACCTGGATATCCTGCAATAATTGGATGTTGAGACATTTTTATTCATGGGAATTTACTACTGAGCTGTATTCTAGCACAGGTGGTCGCCTCCATCTTTCAGTCTGTTTTCTGTAAACAAGCGCTGTAACATGGGACATATGGCCATGTGGGAACCCTAACCCTATAAAGGTGTGTATCAATTTAACCTTTAGTTTTTTGAAAATGATTTATTGCTGATATGAAAGATAAGGTCCTTATTGTTAAGAGCGTCGGCTCTTAACAAAACTCCCTTGTACAGAAGACGCCTTAGTCCAATGACGTATGTGTAATGTAATTGAACTGAGAGTCCTGATCAAGGGCAAAGTATTTGGACACACAACTAATTTGATTGGCAAAGTTCAATGCCCCCTTGCATTGCCATTAAAATGTAAACTGGGTGATTTCTCATTCCTTTACAGGAACTATTGGAGAGACACCAAGTACAGTAGATAGAACTGCTTCAATTAGCAAAAAACGTTAGGCTACATTCTGAATGATAAGCTATTGCTTGGTTAAACAACAAAACTGTCCCATGCGCACTACCACTCCAGCAATTCTGATTTGATACACTGTAGCAATATGGGCAAGCGAAACAGGCTACATTGTTACAACGATAAAAATAGCTCAGTCGACTGGTGACAGTGACAGATAGCCCTGACTACCGTGTCCTTGGAGAAATTTTTTTCCTAATTCTCGTGCATGCGTACAAAAAAAGTCATGAAATGAAGCATTGCCAAGTTTGAGGAATAGCTACTTTAAAAATAAATAAAACATTCATGACTGAGTCGACGACGTCTAATATTTTATCATATTATCCCATTAGATAGCCTAACGTATTCAGAGTTGCTAATGCTATCGCTTACCTCTCTTTTCAGACGTCAGACGCCGAATGATTGAGATATTTTGATGACTCTAGTATCCGGAATGATTTGCACGTTCTAAAATTCTCTCGCAGAAGAAGAAATTATGACCACAATCATTTTCATGTGGCGCAATGTAGGCTAGGCCACTTCCTCAACTGAGCTGACTGTATACAAATTGTGCTGTTAGTAAGTAGAGCCTGATGCTTATTACCCTTGTATGAGAGAGCATGGTGTAGCCTACTTTGGCTGGCTGTTCTTTAACGCGAGGCTATAGTCAAGTCAAGGGTATTACATTTGGGGTGAAAAATACATGTATTCTACTCTAAATCTCGTTTCAACTTTATAATTTAACATAATAAATGTTTCATCTTTCTAATTAAAACTGTGAATCTTGTAAACGAGTTCATGCCAACAAATCCAACAGGCCTACATGCAGTGTCGATTTTGGGGTAAACTCCCTTTTTTGTTTTGTTGATGCATTACATTTACATTTACATTTACGTCATTTAGCAGACGCTCTTATCCAGAGCGACTTACAAATAGGTGCATTCACCTTATAGCCAGTGGGATAACCACTTTACAATGTTTTTTTGTTTTTTTTTGGGGGGGGGGGGGGGGGGGGGGGTGGGGTAAGGGGGGGGTTAGAAGGATTACTTTATCATATCCCAGGTATTCCTTAAAGAGGTGGGGTTTCAAATGTCTCCGGAAGGTGGTGAGTGACTCCGCTGTCCTGGCGTCGTGAGGGCGCTTGTTCCACCATTGGGGTGCCAGAGCAGCGAACAGTTTTGACTGGGCTGAGCGGGAACTATGCTTCCGCAGAGGTAGGGGAGCCAGCAGGCCAGAGGTGGATGAACGCAATGCCCTCGTTTGGGTGTAGGGACTGATCAGAGCCTGAAGGTACGGAGGTGCCGTTCCCCTCACAGCTCCGTAGGCAAGCACCATGGTCTTGTAGCAGATGCGAGCTTCAACTGGAAGCCAGTGGAGTGTGCGGAGGAGCGGGGTGACGTGAGAGAACTTGGGAAGGTTGAACACCAGACGGGCTGCGGCATTCTGGATGAGTTGTAGGGGTTTAATGGCACAGGCAGGGAGCCCAGCCAACAGCGAGTTGCAGTAATCCAGACGGGAGATGACAAGTGCCTGGATTAGGACCTGTGCCGCTTCCTGTGTAAGGCAGGGTCGTACTCTCAGAATGTTGTAGAGCATGAACCTACAGGATCGGGTCACCGCCTTGATGTTATTGGAGAACGACAGGGTGTTGTCCAGGGTCACGCCAAGGCTCTTCGCACTCTGGG